CCCCGTTCATCCTTTATTCCTAGGCCTTTGAACCTACAGCCACAGGACCAGCCTCAAAGAGGTTCTAGCTCCAGGGCCAGCAGCTCTAGCCTGAGGCAGGAGGTTGGGGAGCTGTGGGAGGGTGTCTGAGGTTTGCCGTTGGCTCCTTCTCCACTTCCTCCTCCAACCAAGAGAAATTCCCTGGAATAACTAAGCGAGAACCTGGGAACAATAACATGAGAGTTTATTATCACATGACTGCTCAGGAGGGGACATGAAGCGGAGCAGGATGGGGAAGGGACGTAAGGAATGGGCAAGTGCTGCTGGAGCAGGGTTGTGGCCATGGTCATGGCAGCAGGATAACTGGGGATGTTGAAGAGTCTCTTTTCCCCAGTCTGGTTCTTCCAGCAGTCAGATGCAGGAATGCGCAGTGCAGAAGCACCAGGCGCTAATAATCAGGAGAGGCATGGCTAGATTCAGCTCACTTCCAACATCTCCTTCTGGTGTCTTTTCTAAGGGAAAAGGAAAGGCAAGACAATCGTAAGTGGGAAAGAAAGGGCGGAGTCTTTCCTCCAGGGCAGCTTAGTTCTGGAACTACCAGAATCAGCTGCATGGTACCTGATGCAAAGGTATAGCATGGATATGGACTTCCCTGGATTCCTAGGCTCTTTGACTTGGGGGCCACTTGGTTGGGGATAGGGGCTTTCCGGGCTGGGCCACCACTGGGTAGAAAGACAGGCATGATAATAGTTGGGACTTGGGTCATGAGCCCCTTTTTCCTCCCCAAACTGTCCACTGTCCATTCCTGTCTCCTTTGAGCAGCTCCACTGCCCCAAACACACAGGCACACACTTTAGGGACTCACCCCTTTGGTTGGGAACTTTCTCCAGCAGTACAGCCACAGAGGGGCCAGAGATGCCAGAAACAGCAGAATCCAGACACCCAAGAGCATGGCATGAAGGGTACGGATTAAGGCCTGGGGACAGAGGGCCAAGGCCATAAGCACCAGGATGACAACTGCCTTCCTGCTCTGTCCTCATGCTCCTTGTTGACCTGGGAAAATCTCTACCCCTTTATCTTCAAGTTTGTGGCTTCTGGAGGGGAAGTCAATGCATTTAGTGTGCAGAATGCAGCTGGAAACCCCTCACATTGGGCCTGCGTCCTCATTTACACAGTGACAGGTTTGGGCTACGATTTGATTCCCTGATAACCTCCAAGACTTCAGAGGATCAAGGGAAACCATGCATTTAACACCTTTGCAGCACTTTGCACACTTGCTATATTGGTTCACTTATTATTATTTTAATGCTTGTATTGCCCACTAGTCTGTAATACCCTACAGGAGCCATTTCTGTTTTGTCTGATGCTTTGTCCTTGGTGACAATACTCAAGCTTGGTGCAGAATAGGTAACAGCTATTTCTGGTGGAGAAGCTGACTCTTGCCCCTCGCCTGGCCTGGCCATCCCTGACCCACCTGCTGCTGCACCTTCCCCTTGGCCACCTACCTTTAGCATGTACAGGAAGGAGGTACACACGTGTAGCCTTCTGACTTCTTCTGGACTGTCAGTGGGGGCTGGGGTGATCCAGCCACTCGAGGTGGAGATGTGGCAGATACTGTCGTAATAATAGCCATATCGGAAATCTTCATTCCAAAGTTTGAGGGCAGCGATGGCTGTGGAGAAAGCTGCTAGCGCTAGCAGAGTCCTCAGCAGGGCCTGGGGAGGGAGGAGGCAGAAGAAATCTTCATGTTTCAGTCTCTCCCAGAGTCCAATCGGGGGAAAATAGGGCAAGGCCCAGAGAAGCCTGCAACAGGGCAGGAGATTGGGGTGGCCTCCAGCCTGAACCTGGTCCCCTCCCATGCCCTTCCCTGAACTTACCCAGCAGGTACCACCCCGTTTCTCATAAATGAAGGCAGTAGCTCCAGCTAGCACAGCCTGGGGAGAGATTGAGCCAGGAGCAGGCTTAGCACAGGAAATGCAAGTCCCCTCCGACGAGACAGCCTCCATGCAGCAGGCCCTTCCCTAGCACACTCAGCTTGGGCCGGAGGTTTCATGCTAAGCTTTAGTATCCATGGTAAGATAACTGCTGAGAGGTTGGAGCCCGATCCAACTCCTGAGGCTGCAGAAGGCCCTGCTTTAGTGACACCTAAGAGCTGTGGTCAAGCCAGGTGTGAGCTCCTAAACCTTCCTTTTTAAACAACACCAAGAACTTTATGAAAGTTCCAGGGATGGTGGGATCTTGTGGATAAAAGTCATAGGGTGTTGCAGAAGCTCTCAATAAAGGATGAGTCTATACAGAGTGGGCACTATTAGGTTTAGAAGCCTGTCCTAACAGTGCCCAATGATCCACTCAGCTGAGCTTGAAGAACAGGAAATCTAGTATATCCCAGTGGACAGGTGGACCTGAATCCTGTTTGGCTAATTCTGTAACTAATCTGGGTATTTTGCCATGGGGTGGGTGAAGGTGATTACTCTTGGCTTCTCTCAGTAAATACAAGTGTTTTACTGCTATTCTGAGGGTGTAGGTACCATGACCAGCCTACCCAGCTCCTGTGCAAACTACACACACCCATCTATGGACAATTCCTGGGTTCCCAGTGTGTGCAGGGCCTGTGTAGGACAATGGGAATAACCAGGGGGTGATGCTTCCTGGGGGATCACATACTATCTGGCACGCTCTGCCTCCCCCATCTCAACGCAAGTATCCAGAGATGAGCAGGTCCTTAGATCCTTAGTTGACATTAACTGTTGAAGGCAGGGAGAGGCGGCCCGCCTGGTAGGAGCAGCACTGGGCAGGGTATGGGAGAGCAGTGTGACTAGGACATGCCACTACTGCCCTCAGCTGTTTGCTTATCTGAACAGGCAGGGAATGGGCCTAGATAATCAGATCTTTCCGACTGCCAGCATTCTGTGGCCCCATGTTGGAGGAAGGCAATCAGGACAGCAACGCTCCACACTTCTCACAGGCAGTCAAGCACGGTCCTGCTCTACTCACCACAGCCCCTGTCCAGATGGCAGCTCCCGAGGTGACCAGGAGGGTGTAGTTGGGGATGTAGAAAAATCCTCCCAGGACTGCACTCAAGATCCCCAGCACAATCTGCATCACCTGAAAGACAAAAAACCCAAGATCCCAGCTCCTAGGTGGAGCCGCCACTGCAGGGATTAACCACTAAAACCCCAAAAAGAGAAAGAGAGAGAGAGAGAGGAGAAGAGAAAGGAGAAGAGGAAGAGGAGGAGAAAGAAGAAGAGGAAGGAGGGGGAGAAAAAAGAGAAAGGGAGGAGAGCCGGCCCATCCTGAGTTTGGCCGAGAGGAAAGGGCTCCACTGATTGGGACTCCGCACAGTCAGTGGCTCCTCCACTCCCGTTCAGCCCAGAGCCTCCCCTTCCCAGGCTCTTATTGAAAATGCCAGAGAATCACATTCCTAAGTAAGAAGACACAACTGGCTCGGTGTCCTGTTGAGAGGGAGGCTGGCAGAGAGTGCTGCTGCGGCAGGAGGTGGGGAGTCCCTCCTGCCGCCCCACGAGGCAGGCCATCACACTCACCCACGAGGCCACCAGCAGCCGGCTGCTGCCCCTGGCCTGGGTGGCCCGGGGCTGCAGTGCAGAGCAGCAGGTCAGCAGGAGCTTGGCCAGGGCAGACTCCTGGTGGATGTGCACATGGACGTGGGTGGGTTGTGGGGCCTCCAGGGCCATCTCATTACTGTCGGCTGTCTCCATTGTCAGGGACACCGTGTGTGAAGAAGGCAGCACCAGGGAGGAAGGGCTGTCAGAAGATTTTCGCAGATTTCACTGGAGTTGGGGAAGTCAGGGACCAGTGGGTCACCGAATGAATGGCTGTCCTGGTCACAGAGCCGCACCCCTGCCCCCTCAGGAGGGGAATGTGTGTAGCAGAGAGGGCTGCTGATCATGCTGGGGCTGCTGCGACCGCTGAGCCTGCGGGAACCTCACCTTTCGCCCCAGATCTGCTCTATCCCCCGCATCCTCCTCCCAGGGCCCAGGCGTCTAGGTCAAGCAGCGCCCCACGGCCCCACCCCTCACCCCCTCCACCCGGGCTCTTCCTGAGGTCTCCCCTCCACGGTCTGCAGGCTCTGAGACAGGACCGAGCCCTTGGCTGCCTGTGGAGCTCCTGTGGCAGCAGCCGCGCCCCGGCTGGGCTCCGGATACACCCCTGTCCCCGCCACCGCCGACCTCCAGCTCCACCAACCGCTGCTCACGCCCGACGGGTTCACGCCGCCCCTGCCCCGGGTAAGAACGCGGGGCAGTGCGGAGCTAGGTCAAAAGCGGGGGCGGCACCTGGCCTCCTCCGCAGTCCCCTTTCTGCAGTCTCATCCCTGGGTGGGGGTCCCTCCTACGCCCCACCAGCTGTGCGGAGGCACCTTGGGGCGCGTGCGGAAGGAGTCCCGGGGGCAGCCAGGAGTGGGGCGCTGCCTCACCTGCGCTCCTCGGGACCTGCGGGCAGGCAGCGGGAGGGCTGGGGCGCCGGCTGGGGCGCCGCCTGGAGAAGTGGGTTGAGAATTGGAGGTGGAGGCGGGGGTGGAGGCGGGGGTGGGGTTGAACTTCAGCTCCTCGGGTTCACCGCAGGCTGCAGGGCCTGGGGTCCGTCTGGGGTTCTCCCGCTGCGCGAGGGTCACTGGGCTTTGGGGAGCTGGGAGCGTGCGCGGGCGGACGGCCCTGGGAAAGCCCATGGGGTGGTCCTCGCTCCCAGCTCTGCCCAGCCAGGGCCGGCGTGCGAATGTGGGCGAGTGGGAGCGCAGGGGTCGCGCGGGGGCTCGGCCTTCTCCTGCCAGGTCCGCTCCTCCGGGCGGAACCCCCCTGCCGGACCCCGGGGCCGCAGCTGGTTTCGGGAAACTGCGCAGCCTGGGCGGGGCCTCAGCCCCCACCCCTGCATCTACCATCTCCGCCCTCCCGTCGCTCCCCTGCTCGGGGTCAGCTCCTGTCCGCTCTGCTACGCTGCCGGCTCCCGGAGGACGGCAGGTGAGGCAGGGCCCCCGCGGCCCGGGAGACCCTCTTGCCGCAGGACCCTCTGTCACGAGGAGTCCCCAGGGCCATGCCCCCACCCCGTCCCGTCCACAAGACGTCTTTCTTCCTCCATCCTGGTTTCCAGGAGAACTCGCGTAGGAGGGAGGGACAGCTGGGTGCAGGTGTTTCTCCCCAGAAAAACGGCTGGAGAGCAGGAGGAGAGGCTTGGGCCTGGCGCGTCCCCTGCACTTTCCGCCACCCGCACGCCTGGACCCTGGCTGGAGCCCTACGGTGGGGTGGCTCCTGGGACGGGGCCAGGGCGTGGCGGGGCTGCCGGACGCTTTCCCCAGTCCCGGGGCACGGGAGGAGCTGGACAGAGGAAAGCGTTTGGGGCAGCCGGGAAGAGCCCACCACCTACCAGGCGTCGGGCGGCCGGCAGGGGGAATCTCTGTGGTGCCAGCCTGGTTCAGATCCGACTCCTCAGGAGGGGGCGAGGCAGATCTAGGGGTTGGCGTGGGGTGGGGGAAGCAGTGGTCCTGGGGGCCTGGAGATAGCTGGAACCTGAGGTGCACTCAGGGCGAGGCCTGGGCCCTCAAGGGAAGGTCTGGCTGGAATCTGGGGCTGGGCTTCATTTTGTGGGCAGCAGTCTGAAGCTCCTTTGTGCGTGTGCGGAATTGTCTAACTCCTGTCCTTTCTAACTCCAAGGAGGCCAGGTGGGTGAAAGAGTGAAAGTGCTTTCAAAAGTAGGTAGAGGACGAATGGCAGGTGTTATTAGAATTGTTAATATTATTTGATGTAAACTGTGATACTTAGCCAGGATGTCCATTACAATTACCTATGCAGGATTTATTTTAGAGCCAGGCAAGCTGATTCTAAAGTGCATGTGGAAAAGTAATCTAGCAAAAATAGCCATGACAATTCTGAAAGAAAAACCACACGAGGGGATTGTGAAACAGCCCAATTAGCATTAAGCTCCAGGTTAAAATTGTGGTAATGATGCCTAGCCCATGAGACATGCCAATGGGCGGAATATAAGGACTAGAATAGGCCTACATTCCTAGGGGAACTTCGTTTCTGCTCAGGAGAGAATTTTAAATCACTGAGAAAAAGAGGATGTATTCCACAAATGGAACGTATCTTTCAGAAGTTAAACATCGGAATGACAGCAACAGAACTTGGATCCGTGTCCCAACGGCCAAAGTTGGTCACGCAGCTCCCAAATTCCAGATGGTCAACATTTAAAAGTTAAAACTGAAAGCATAAAGCCACTTAGAAGAAAATATGGAAGATTATTTTATAATCTCGAAACGGGGAAGTCCTTTAAAAGTCTAAGAGCTAGACACCGTAAATAGAATGAAATAGAATATGGATTGTATGAAAATACAAGCAAGGTCAAAAAATAAACTACAAATTGTAAAGAAACATTTGAAACTTATATCACAAATGGTAATTTTGTGAATAGATAAAGAACTTCCATAGAAAAAATCAAAACGAAACAAGGACATAGGATGTGAATAGAGAGCTCACAAAAGAAGAAATAAAAATGCCCCTTAACGTATGAAAAAACAATCAACCTCACTCATAATAAGAGAACTATGGGCCAGGCGTGGTCCTGGTGGCTCACACCTGTAATTGCAGCACTTTGGGAGGCTGAGGTGGGAGGATTGCTTGAGTCCAGGAGTTTGAGACCACCCTGGGCAACAAAGCAACACCCCATCTCTCTCTCTAAAATATAAAAGAGAACCGGCCAGGCGCGGTGGCTCACACCTGTAATTGCAGCACTTTGGGAGGCCGAGGTGGGTGGATCACGAGGTCAGGAGATCGAGATCATCCTGGCTAACACAGTGAAACCCCGCCTCTACTAAAAATACAAAAAATTAGCTGGGCTTGGTGGTGGGCGCCTGTAGTCCCACTTACTCGGGAGGCTGAGGCAGGAGAATGGCGTGAACACGGGAGGTGGAGCTGGCAGTGAGCCGAGATCGCTCTGCTGCACTCCAGCCTGGGCGACAGAGTGAGACTCCATCTCAAAAAAATAAAATAAAATAAAAAATAAAAATAAATAATAATAAAAGAGAACCATGGATTAAAAATATATGCAAATCGTTACAGAAAGCAAGTTAGTGGTTGCTCATGGCCAGTGGTTGGGGTTATTTCCTGAGAAGGGGCTTTAGGGAACGTGTTGCAGTGTAGGAATGTCCTATATCTTGATTGTAGCTGTAATTGCACAAACGTATAAATTTGTCAAAACTCATTGAGATATACATTTAAAATGAGACATTTTATTACATAAAATTGATTAAAATCAATGCATTTTTCCCCATATTAAAGGAAAAGGATAAAAGAGTTTGCCTCCTGCGTGTGAATTGCTACCACCTCCATGGAGGGTAACTGACAATATCTTCTAAAATTGCAAATGCACATTCCAGTTGCCCTGCCAATTCCACATTGTCTGTAATGGAAAAGGATTGGAAATAACCTAAATGTCTGCCAATAGGGAACCACTTAAATAAATTATAAGAAATTCATACTCTTGAAATATATGCAGTTACACAAGTGAGTGAAGAAGCTTTTGTGAAAGTTGTCAGAATCATAATCGAGTCACTTGTGTTAAAAAAAATCTGAAAATTAGAGCCTGAGAAAGCCCACAAGGCAGGGTTCTCCTGCGTAAACACCTGGTAACAAAAATCGTCACAAAGGACTCTGTAAAATGACAACCTTACACAAAAAAATACTTCTGTGAGGACATCCACCAGCAACTGCCTGTCTAACCCTGGACAGGTGTCACCCTTGTTATTGATCCTTGTAGCCAAGGATGATCATCTCAAAGTGATTATGTAAGTCTCCCCATTTTTCCTTTAAAAACCTTTGTCTTCTTTTACCTGCCTGAATGTGCACACGATTTACTATGGTAAGCATATTCTCGTTGTAATGCCCTATTCCAGAATAAATCTCATTTTCTTTTGGAGAACCTCTCTCTGTTATTTAGGTTGACGCTTTTTATGGACTCATGTAGGGTTATTCTAAAAACATATGATCATGTGAACACAGCGTCATGCAAATCAGTGTGTATAGTATGCTGCTATTTGTGAGGAAAGGGGGGAGAAATACTTTTTCACACTTTTGTATGCAAAAATGTCATGGTAGGATTTATAAGAAACCGATAATATTACTTTCCATCTGCAAGGCAAATAGGTGGTTGAGGGAAAAAGATGAGAGATAAGGTTTTAAAGGTATATATAGCCTTTTGTATCTCTTAACATTTTTATGTGTAAAGTATTTTGTGTAAAGATATATATACAGATATACTAAGTCACTAATCACTGAGGTCACTGTGACATTGATATCTGCATTGGGAAGACCTTTTGGATCTTGACAAAGACACTGGTTTTTTTTTTTTTGGATGGAGTCTCACTCTGTTACCCAGGCTGGAGTGCAGTGGCAAGATCTCAGCTCACTACAACCTCAGCCTCCCGGGTTCAAGTGATTCTCCTGCCTCAGCTTCCTGAGTAGCTGGGACTACAGGTGCACACCTTTTTGTATTTTTAGTAGAGAAGGGGTTTGCCACATTGGCCAGGCTGGTCTTGAACTCCTGACCTCAGGTAATCCACCCACCTCAGCCTCCCAAAGTGCTGGGATTACAGGCGTGAGCCATTGTGCCCATCTGGGATCTTGACAAAGACACTATTTATCTCCTTTCACCTGTGCTGTGTATTTTTCCCTCACCTAGTTCCCAGACCTCACTTCTGTATGTCTTCTCCCTGACAGGCAGGATGACCCAAAACACGGTGATTGTGAATGGAGTTGCTGTGGCCTCTACGCCATCCCAGCCCTCCCACATCAACGTCCACATCCACCAGGAGTCAACTTTGACACAACTGCTGAAAGCTGGAAGTTCTCTGAAGAAATTTCTTTTTCACCCTGGCGACACTGTGCCTTCCACAGCCAGGATTGGTTATGAGCAGCTGGCTCTAGGGGTAAGACTGGGCTGGTGCAGGACGGGGGGCACATTAACGAGGTGATGAGGTCAATTAAAATATAGAACCAAATCTTCAAAATTAAAACATTTTATTTGGGAGCAGATAATTGCAATTTGGGGCATACACACAGACCAGGTGGTCTCTAGTACTTCTTTGGAACAAAGAGAAGGTTAAAGGCTTATAAAAAGGAGAAATGTTACATATTGCCCTTCAAGAAAGATCATAGGTTTTGGGGAGCTGGCGAGCTCTGATGGGTGAGCGATGGTGTGAGTAAAACGAATCGTAGAGTTGTAGCAAGGTCAGAAGCTGTAGATAAAGCTGGTTTCAGGTTGCAGCAGGCAGCTTCAGCGGCCTGATTTGTAGAGAATTACATTTTGGGAGCAACATTTTGTGCCCTGGTGCTTTTTGCCCCTGGCCACTCGACTCTGTTTTAGTTGAGTGTGACAAGAATGACCCCATTTGTAGGCTCAGCTTTCACAATGGAAACTCTCCTTCTTCAATAGGATGCAAAAAAGGAAAGTGGGTTGAATTTCCATGAGAGGGACATGAGAAATCACTATTTGTATCTCATCCTGTGTAGGAAAAAGTTGTAAGTATCCCCACAGAAATTTGGATGAAAAGGAATAATCGACCTCCTCTTTGGTGCAGAGGAGTTGGTCCCAGCCAGAGGTGGGGCAACAGGAAGAAGAGTCTAGAGGCTGTTAATTCAGTTTCATTGACCCAACATGGACTGAGAGCCTACAGGTGCAAGGCAATGTGTTCAGCACTTCAGGCCAAACTACAGAGAGAATCCCTGGGCTATATCTAAAAGTGCTCAGTGACCATCAGAAGAAACAGCAGCTACACTAATGACTGGAACTAAAGGTAGATCAGGCGAGGGAGAAGCACATCTGACATCCTTGAGGGCAGGAGAACCCTGAATGGAGAAGGAATAGGTATAGACAGAGGTGGAAGATGGACAAAAAAGAATTCCAGGTTAAAGAATGACAGGAGCAAAGGCAAAGAAGCCGGAAGGCATAGGGCAAGTTCTATAATGGTTAAGAGTAAAGAAAATGGGCTTCATGAATGGGTGATTTGGGGCCATGTTGCTGAGAACCTTGAAAGACCAGGGGTGGAGTCTGTCCTGAATCAGCTTTGACAGTGAGAAGACTGTGGATGGATTCTGAGCAGGAACCTGCCTCAGAGTCAGGAGGCATCCAGGTGAGAAGGATCGAGGGTCTGCACTTGCATAATCATAGCAGGAATGGTGAGGAGACAAAGGAGTCCCTGTCCTTCGCAGACCTCCATGGCATGGGAGTGAAGGGATGTGGGGGATAAGGGAAGAGAGGCATCCACAGCATACAGAGGGTTGAAGTGTGGGTGACCAGGAGATCAGAGCCCTGAAAGTCAGGAGGAGCAGACATTTGAGAGATGTGTGTGTGTGGTAGCAGGCGGGGTGTGGGATTTGGATGTGACAAATCTGAGATGCCGGTAGGATGTGCAGGTGGTTCAAGAGACGTGTGTGTGTGTGTGTGTGTGTGTGTGTGGTAGTTGGTGGGGGGTGTGGGATTTGGATGTGACAAATTCGAGATGCTGGTAGGATGTGCAGGTGGTTCGAGAGATGTGTGTGTGTGTGTGTATGTGGTAGTTGGTGGGGGGTGTGGGATTTGGATGTGACAAATTTGAGATGCCGGTAGGATGTGCAGGTGGTGACAGTTGGGTTTTCCAGGAAGAAGAGGAATTCTCTCCTGAGTTGGAGTTGGGTGTGTGAATGGCTTTTTGGGGTATGACACCTATGGAATGAAAAGAGCGGGAGCAGGATTGGGTAGGAGGAACCATAAGGCTGCAATGCAGACTCTGCCAGGCCAGTGGGGAGCTTCCAGGCAAAGGCTGCCCACTGCAGGAGTTCCATACTGGGTGGAGATGGCCTTTGAGCTACTGTCTTGCTTAGTCATTGGCTGGGGGGGGCCCTCCTCAGCATGTGTCTTCAGCTTGAAAAATTAGGGTGACCCTCAAGGAGCTGACAACTGTAGGCTGTCAGCAATCAAACAAGCCCTTTCTTGAAGGGGGTCTTAGCAGCACATCTTTGTGTCTGCCACAGAGCCCTCAAGAGTGTGTGTTTGGATCTGAAGAGAAAGGATAGGCCAGAAGCTCAGGTCAGGCTGGGGATTTGGATGGGACAATGGGACCTCTGAAGGAGAATAGGGGGAAAAAGTGGGAATCTTCAGGTGGGATGAGAAAGTGTTGAAGTTGGGGAAAAGTAATGAAGGAAAAATAGCCAAGCCTATGAGAAAGGTGAGGGGAGACCCAGGCCAGTGCTGCTTCATGGATTTTAAGGAGACAGAACCTTCCAGAATCAGAGCTGTAGAGAGGTTAAGGCAGAGGAAAAGGAGAGGAGAGCCACCTAGATAGGAGCCAGGCAGCTGCTCCCAGGGCAGCTGGGGCACGTGGGCTCACGGGAAGGGGTCTGGTTTCTCATTCTGTCTTGCAGGTGACTCAGATATTGCTGGGGGTTGTGAGTTGTGCTCTTGGAGTGTGTTTCTGCTTGGGGCCCTGGACTGTGCTGCGTGCCTCAGGCTGTGCCTTCTGGGCGGGGTCTGTGGTGAGTAAGGAACAGGCTGTGAGCCCGGAGGGAGGCAAGTTGTGATAGGCAAGAAGGTGCTTATAGATCTGGGTTGGGGCTCTGGGGAAGCAACCAAAGCCTCTGGGGCCAAATGGCCTTTGGCCATGAGGAAGCTGCCCTAGGGTGTAGCTGAGACCCTGTCACTTCTCTTTTTCTCTTGAAGACAGGTGGGAGAGGTGGGGCAGGTGTAGGTGGAGTCCTGTCTCTGTGTCGGAGTTCTTTGTCTTTCCCTGGGATCCTGCTTCACATTGGCTGTGCTGGGAACTGCTGGTGGGAGGGTGATGATAGACCAATTCAGAAGAGTAAACTGGAGGCCTTTTTCTGGTGTCTCTTTTCAGGCGATCGCAGCAGGAGCTGGGGCCGTTGTCCATGAGAAGCACCCGGGCAAACTTGCTGTGAGTCTTGGACACCCTTTCTCCTCCACCTTGTTCACTGACCCACTGCTGAGTTCTGCTCCATTACCTGTCTTCTGCCCTTTGGTTGCCAATATCTTGGGGTCTTTCTTGGAGGGGAGGAGAGGGTTTCCTGGACAGGGGCTGGGGAAGAGGAGATGGCTTTGAGGCAGGGACCTCATGACTCTTCCACTGATTGAAGGAGCCTGTGTCTTGACCCTCTTTCTCTTCCAGGGCTATGTATCCATCCTGCTCACCCTGGCAGCCTTTGCTACAGCTATGGCTGCTGTTGTCCTCTGCGTGAATAGCTTCATCTGGCAAACTGAACCCTTTTTATACATTGACACCGTGTGTGATCCCTCAGACGTCGTCATCCCTACCACTGGGTACAGATGGCAAAGTCAAGAGAACCAATGGCAGAAAGAGGAGTGTAGAGCTTACATGCAGATGCTGAGGGTGAGCAGGAGGAGTCCAGTCTTTGGGGACCCATCACAGCTCTTTGTTCCCAGGGAGCTGGGAGCGCTGGAGGAGAGAGATGTAGGCTCTTTAAGCTTGGACCTCATGCTGAGTCTTTCATTCAGGAGGTTTTAATGTACGCTGCAGACATTTCTCAGACCTCATGATATGAAGATCCTCTGAATCAAAGGGGATGAGCAACAAAGAGGAGACATTTCAGAGAGGAGATAGTGGGCCACTCTTCTGGCTTTTCTGGTGTGTCGGTATCCCAGTTTTCCATTACTGAATTAAAAACCACCCCAAAATGTAGTGGCTTAAAATTACAACTTATTATTTCTCACGGTGCTGTGAGTTGGCTGGATTCAGACGAGCCATCCTCACTCACGGGTTTTCTCATGCAGTTACAGTCAGATGGGGGTGAAGTTATCCAAGTGCTCGCCGAGGCTGGGGGTCTGAGATGATGCAGCTGCATGGTCCAGAGTTCAGTGGGGGCTGTCAGCAAGAGCCAGCGATCGCTTCTCCACGTGGCTTGGGCTTCTCATAGCACAGAAACTGGATTCCAATGGGGAGCACCCTAGTTGCAAGCATTTCAGGAGACAGAAAGTAGAAGCTGCCAGACCAGCTAAGGGCTACCCTGTCACTGGATAGTGTCACTTTCACTGTGGCCAAAGCAGTCCTAGGCCCTTCCAGATTCTAGGGATTGAAGGAATAGTCTCCACTTCTTGACAGGGAGTGATAAGGTCACTCTGCAGACAAGCCAGTGGGATGGAAGCTGTGGCTGGAAACACAGTCAGCTGTGGTGGGAGCAGCAAGCTGGATAGAGTCAGTGCCTGGGTGGGTGGAGAGGGTGGTGATGTGGCAGCATTGAAGTAGCTGATACCTGACTATCTTTGTTTTTCCCTTATCTCCAGAAGTTGTTCACAGCAATCCGTGCCCTGTTCCTGGCTGTCTGTGTCTTGAAAGTCATTGTGTCCTTGGCTTCCTTGGGAGTGAATCTTCGAAACTTGTGTGGCCAGAGCTCCCAGCCCCTGGTGAGTTGTCGGGCAGGGGCCGCTGGACAGTGTGAGTCTGGGTGGTGAGTAGGAGTGCAGGTAGGAGTGCAGGGTCAGGTGCACCCGAACCTGAGGCTTGGCTGGTCCCCCTCAGCTTCTTTCCATATGCAACTCTCCCCTTTGCTGTCGGGGAATGTGGCCATCACCATGGTCCTGGGCCAACTCTTGCTGCCCTGTGCCTCTCTGCGCCCTCCTCTGCTCTGATCTCCCCACTCTCCCCTCTGCCCTGTCCCAAGTGTTCGTCCCACTCCCCTTCCTCTGTCACCTTGTTTTTTTTTTTTTTTTTTTGCCTAATCTGTGTTTCCTGTCACCTTTTCCTTTCCCTCCTCCTTTCCTCTTTCTGCTTTCTGAGTTCTATGATGCTAACTCTGCCTGCATCCTCTTCCCCGAAGGATTTCTTTTTTCTTTTTTTTTCCAGAATGAGGAAGGATCAGAGAAGAGACTACTGGGGGAGAATTCGGTGCCCCCCTCACCCTCTAGGGAGCAGACCTCCACTGTCATTGTCCTGTGAGCTGCCAAAGACCCCACCGGGATGCCCGCATGTCTCTGTCTGGGGCAGCCCAGGGCCCCCACTCCTGGCTCCTCATACTCGCCTCCCCTATGGCCGCTGTCCAGATCCTCCTCCTTTCTTCTCCCCACATCAGCACCTGCTGTTCCTGCTCCGGGGTTCTCAAGTCCATGAACAGATATTGTTGCATTTTCCACAGTGCTGATTAAACATAATAAACAATCCAGAAAAACAATTTTGCCCAGAAAGATATGGTTTCTCTTTGTTTATACACCTTGTACGCCGTGAAAGACCTTTCTTTGTGTCGCTATGTATGAGGTTAAATGGGAGCTGACTTATCCCATTGAAACACTGTCCCAAGAAGACTAAATTTAATTATGTTCTGCTCTGCATCCCAGGTGGCAAAATCCCTTTTTATGATTTTATTCAATTCAGTGTAAAGTGGAAGGAAGTCTAGTGGGCCTAGAATCTTCTTACCTGCTGAGATTGTCTAGGCTCCGACGACCTCAGCCTGTAGACTTGAGAGAACTGTGTGGAGCATGGAACGAGATTTTTGCCCCCTCCCTCCCCATCTTCCTTCCTTTCTCTTTTTTTTGTTTAGCAGTAATTAGTGTTGGTTCTGTCTCTTTTCCTCTCTCCATACCCACATAAACACCATCCTTAGTCTTCTTTCCTTTCATTATAAATGATAGCGAATTGATTTTGACTTCTTCCATTTTCTTTATGTGTGAAGACATAAATATATAGATGTAAGCATTTCTCTAGCTGGAAAGCTGGTAGGGGCTTTATGAAATCTCCATGAGGTCAGTTTCATGACTTAGCAGCCCCACAGGGCTGGTCTTCAGATCCAATCCGATGGGCTGCAGGGCCTGCACCTTCCCTCTTGGCAGAGTGGTATCACAGAGGTGCAGAGCTGCTGCGCTGGGCGAGACCCGCTCCTGCACAGGACTTGGACTGGGGGCCTGTGCCGAGGGCGGTGCTGCGTGCTGCTCTCCCTGGTGCCCTCACCAGCTTGTGCTTTACATAGAGGCTTATAAAGAAGCCTGTGAGACAGGAGTGTGTTCAGAATATGTGCGGGGTCAGCTGATTACATCCCGAGGGGCAAATCCAGCTCACCATCGAATTTTGTAAATAAAAATTTATCTAAACACAGCCACGACCATTTGTCTACACATGGTAGCTGTTTTTGTGCTACAAGGGCAGAGCTGAGGAGTCTTAACAGAGACTGAATGGCCCACAAAGCATAAAACATTTACTAGTAGGCTTTTTACACACAAAGTTTGCTGGCCACTATGTAGGAGCTTGCAGTGTAGAACGTTATGTTCTGTTTCGTGGTTGAGGGGCGTGGAGTGCTCAAGAGCCCCTCCCCAGGAGACCCAGCCTTGGATGAGCAGCAGGTGTGAAGCCAGCTGGTTTCCTCATTTCCCAGGGTCCAGAGCCCACAAATCATCAGGCGGAAAAACTTGGGCTCAGAACCATTGCAGTCCCCATCCTTCTCTCAGTCCCCAGTAAAGAAGACATTAGAATCTCAGAGGAATTTGGAATCTCCTGAACCTCAACATTTATTTTACCCCCAGTGATGGAGTAATGGAAGTCCCCAATTCTTTGCTAAACAGGCAAATGTAAAGTAGCCGAGCCCAGAAGCCAAGCTGGGTTGAAGTGGATAATGTGAAAAGAGACCCATTAGCAGGGCAAGAACCTACGGGGCCTCACTTAGCCAGGCTTCAGGGAATACTCAACCCATCAAAAAATGTGGATGGCCGCCCTTCCCCAGGTCTCATGTTTCCGCACATCTTGTGAGCAGTGGCACTGGCTGCCTTTTCAAAGATGTTCTCACCTCCTAGTGGGCAGCCTTGGAAAATAGTGTTTTCTTCTGGACCAAAGGACAGGCATGATTGCCTGTTATAAAAGAATCAGATGCCTCAAGCTCAGGGTTCCTCTTCTAGAACCCAGCCCACTGGGTGTGCTGGTGTCACCTGCAATGCCTCTTTGCACTGTCTGTGGGATCTGGGGTCCTAGAACCCAAGCAAAAATGCTGCTACTGTGACCACTGCTGTTGCCATGTGTAATAAATTGTTCTTTGTCACAGCTCGGGGTTTTGTGGCTTCTACCAGCATCCATGAAACTGTGGCAGACTGACTTGCTGACCTGCATGTACAGTTAGATCTCAGACCCTTCACTGTTCCTGACTACCGTGTCCTGCTATGTGCAGGGTTATGATACACACAGACTTAAGAGTGAGCTTCTAACACCAAGAAGTTTACAGTCTGCTTAAGAGGCAAGGCATAAACCCTTTACTATGAAGAACGAATGTTACTTGACTGCCGAGTTAGCGATGCATGAGGCAGGAAGGTGGTGTGCTTGCTGAAGAACTGTAGGAAGACAAGGAACATGAGAAAGGAGAATGCAGAGTAGCAGACACTCACTGGCAGAGCACCCTGAGCTTGCTGTTGCTCACGTCATGAACAGCCAGGAGAACGCAGAGTGGGCAGAGCTGCTCATACCTCAGTGTCCATGGGCACATTTGATAGGACTGAGTTACTTGCCCACTCACCACCCTGACTCCAAGGAACTGTGGCCAAAGTTGGGCAGGGGGATTGTCTTTTAGTTGTCACAAATGTTGACATTCAGGACTCCATCTACAAAGATCTCAATCTACACTGCAGCGTGGACAGAGGGCTGGTCCTCAAACCTGGAGAGTACCAGAGTCCTTGAGGCAGGAGGGAGACCATTTCGTACTTCTGGGGTAGGGTGGGAGGTGGTGGGCATGAGGGGTTCAATCTGTGTCCCCTCCAAATTCATATGTTGAGGCCTTAACCCCTAGTAGCTCAGGATGTGACTATATTTGGAGATAGGGTCTTGAAAGAGGTAATTAAGTTAAAATGAGGTAATTGTGATGGGCCCTTGTCCAATATGTCTGATGTCTTTATGACAAGAGGCAATTAGAATGCTGACAGGCCCAGAGGGAAGGCCACGTGAGGACACAGGGAGAAGATGGCATTTACTAGCCAAGGAGAGCCTTGGAGGAACTCTGCTGCTGCCAAATCTTGGACTTCGGCTTTCCACAACTGAGAGAAAAGAAATTTCTCCAGTTTAAGCTCCTCAGTTGGTGTTTTGTTATGAGAACCCTAGCAAACTCAGACACTGGGAGACAGGAGACAGCGTGGGACAGCCTGGGAGGGGGATCAGGTGTGCCCCAGCACTACGTTTTCAAAATCCCTTCCTTGTTTACTGTTGAGGAGCCCTTTGTGCAGCTCCCGGGTTCCCCACAAAGGGGTGCCTCTCATGGTGTGGGACCACACTTGCCTTTGCCACAGCTGAAAGCTGCAGCTCCCAGGAGCTGGTGTTCCTGGCACATCACCCTGAGGTCTCATCACATCCTCAGGCCACTGTCGCCCTGTGTTGCCTGATCCCACCAGCCTCTCCTCTCCCTCCACATCTGACTCCTCAGGGTCTCCAGGACACCTCCCCACCTCCTAAGTGCTGCCTGAGGGGCACCCCACCCCCTTTGTCTTCACAACATCTCTTCTAGCATAATCTCTATCATCACAGGCATTTCTAGCACAGTCTCCTCTGGTATAATTTCCAGTAAATCTCCCAGGCTTTTCTGGTATAATCTCTTCCAGGAGCTCAGACGCTAACAAGCCAGAAAGAGCAGCTTCTGCTTTCTGCTTTGGATTTTAGCCAAAACTGTCCGAGGCGGAGAGAGAGAGGCTTCTGAAATGCCGTTTCCATCAAGGACCCAGCTATGTGGTCAAAAAGAGGAAGTAGAAATACTTGGAAATCTGGGGCCACTGAACTCTGTTTGTCATCTTGTCTTGATGACCTTGGGGTGCTGACACTTGCAGCTCCTGCTGAATGTCCTCTCTGCCCTGAAGCAAGGCCCTGCCGCTCTGTTCTGGGACCTTTTCTTTCTGTTTCCACGTAGGGCAGATGACTCTGCTACCCCAGAGTGGGGCTTTGCAGGAGCTGCCCTGTCTCACACTGGGCATGTCTGTTCCTTGGGATGTGTCACTGGAGCAGATGAGGTGAAGGAGGGAGAGACTGGCCAGGGAGAATGAAGGAGCAGTAGAAACTCTACTCTGTTCTCTATAATCATGAGGGCTTTGGGGGCAGGGCATGGGATTCTCTGTGCAGGTCACACTCCCCACGGGATGGCTGACCTGTTGGCACTAGCAGAGCAGGTGGCATGGGGACATACCTGGTCCACACTGGAGGGGAGGGAAGATGTCACAGCTTCTGGGCTTATAATCTGGAGCCTCTCCATGGACTGGGGGAAGGCCGGAGCCATGTTTTTCTTGTATTCAGCCTCCTAGGGGTTATTAATAAATATTCAGTCAATAAGCAACAACGTTTTTTTTTTTTTAGAGACTAGGGGGTGAAGGTTGATTTTTTTCACTTCTATATTCTGTAAAAGAAAAAATTTGGCAGTCAGTGGGTGGTCTCAATTCTTGCTGCTTAAGGTGTGATCCACTGGCCTGCATGAGCAACCCTGGGAACTGGCTAAAGATGCAAAATCTCCTCCACCCCAGACCAGCCAAGTCAGAACCTGCATTTTCACAAGATCGCAGGCACTATATGTGTTTCATACATTTCGAGGGGCACTGGTATGAATATTACAGCTAGGTGGTTTCAGGAAAGAATTCAGATACAGAACAGGGCTCTTTGAATTTAATCTCTTTGTTTTCATTCTTTTCATGAACTTGTTAACCTTGGAGTTTTACAAAATAATTCTAGTGGTGGCTGGACACGGTGGCTCATGCCTGTAATCCCAGCATTCTGGGAGGCCAAGGCAGGTGGATCACGAGGTCAAGATATAGAGACCATCCTGGCTAACATGGTGAAACCTCATCTCTACTAAAAAACCAAAAATTCGCTGGGCATGGTGGTGCTCACCTGTAGTCCCAGCTACTCGGGAGGCTGAGGCAGGAGAATCGCTTGAACCTGGGAGGCAGAGGTTGCAGTGAGCTGAGATCGCGCCATTGCACTCCACTGGGTGACAGAGTGAGACTCCGTCCCCTACCCCCCCACCAAAAAACCCCAAAAACTCTAGTGCTTTTGAAATACTGAAATTAAAAGTAAAAAGTGGCCTCTTTCCTCACTTTCCTTAGCTGAAGACAGTATTAATTCTCGTACTTCAGTGTCTCTAAGTGAGTCCTTTTATGACCAGATCCAGTAGCAATTCTTTTCCTTTTTTTATTCTGGTAGACAAATGTCAACTTGGTGGTTTTCTTTTTTCTTTTACTTT